TTCTAACATCATGTAGCACAACAATAAACTAGACAGTGGATTTATGATGAAATATTTTATATTATCCAGTTCTTACTTTAACTCTTGTTTGTCATTTTATTTTTCTATATTCTTTCTGTTCTTTTGCATTTTGTCAAAATGTTTATGTTTGTGTAAAGCACTAGTAGTCTTGTTGCTGACATGTTTTATGTAAAGCTGCTTTGCCTCGGCGTCAGCAGTTCAAACATTAATATACAATGGAGTGATGATAAAATGTTGCATATTATTTATATATTTCTAAGCAACTTCTCTTCTCTTTACTGTTAACACTACTCRGTGTTTCCGAAGTTGTTTGCATTTGTCCTTTCTTTGCTGTGAACAAAATGTTGTCATCAAAACAGTGGCCTGTGTGAAAGTTTGTCRTTTCAGCCTAGATTTTAAGTTTTTGGGAATCTCACGGAAAGAATGTTAACTTCAGAAATTAAAAAAAGGTTACAAATTATTTTTGTCAGGCATGATAGGTTATAAAAAGATTTAAAAGAGGCAGTCATTTGCTATGAGTGACACTGAACATTACCTGGCTGAATCAAGCTTAAATACTGAATTGTGTAGCCAATTTGTGTTTTCATAAAAGAATTAACGCAATGCGAGCATATTCCTTTTGAGTTGTAYCTCTGGCTCTGAAATGAGCCAGTAAACAGACAGCATTGAGTTTTTCATAAAGGGGAGACACTYATGCCTGAGGGCTGTGAGACCAGCCAGAGAATTACGCAGAAATACATTTTTAAACTTTAATCTCCACCGCATGACTTGTGGAATTAACTGACGGGAGCCTTGAAAGAAAAAAAAACAGCACAGCAGATCAAACGATTAAGCCATCAAGTGATTTGTATGTGCAATGTTTGTTTTCTACACACAAAGTGCTTCAACTACAAAGTTTACAAGAGCCTGGGAAAACTCCATGTTCTTGAAACAGGAGCAGAWATTTATCCACACTATGATAGAACAGCTTATTGTTTGTTTAAGAGAGAAATTCTTGAAAACAAAGCATTAAGAAAAGCTGGGTCATGATGGATACATGAGTTTGTTTCAGGAATGAAAGGGGGTAATGGGTGAAGAGGCTTTTAGGCTATGTCCAGGACATGGGTGCCATCTTGAAAGCCGCTATGCTGGATCAAGGGCAAGTTTTTCCAAAGACAGGTCCCCTCACTTATTACTTGCTAGGGCATTGTGTCATTTTCCCATTGTGTCTGAAATAAAAGGGTGTCCTGTGACTTTTGACTCACCCCATATATGTTATCTAGCAGGTAAAACAGATTATGGCATATATTAGAATCATATTTTTATAGTTCCTTGAGTTTAATCTTAGATTTCTTTCTTTTGTGGTTTCTGCTTGTTCTGTTACTTGTGCACCCGGTGTCCTCAGTTCTCCTCAGGCTTCTGACTAAACCACTCACAACTGATCCTTGTTTTTCTCTCCCCTAGGTGTGTCTATTGTTGACCATGATCAGTGTTCCTTTTTATTGTGTGCCTTTCTYTCAGTTCCCTGTCCCCTGCATTATGCTTTCATAGATCTCAACTCCTTTGAATGTCTACCAATATACTGAGTTTCAAGGAGCCGTAAAATTGACAAAAAAATCTGTCTTACTTTCATATGAGACAAAATGTGTTCACAACAACAYAAATTTGTTCAATTCAGTTTATTTATATGGCACCAAGTAGTGCTGGGTGGTAAGACAAAAGTTTTATATCACTGTATTTTTAAAACATATCTATATCATGGTATTGAATGTTTTTTTTAAACCACAGATCATGTTAAAATATACAAATGCTGCTTATTAATCAGGAAACTGTGGACAACTGAAGTTACTCACTTTCTGCAACACAGAAACTTTCTCGACTTTACTGTACCTTTGTCTGTGTCACGTTTTTCCTCCTGTCTTTACTTCCTTCCCTGGTTGCAGACATTAGTCGCACATGGGCTTACACTCACCGGCCACTTTATTAGGTACGCCTGTCCAACTGCTCGTTAACACTTAATTTCTAATCAGCCAATCACATGGCGGCAACTCAATGCATTTAGGCATGTAGACATGGTCAAGACAATCTCCTGCAGTTCAAACCGAGCATCAGTATGGGGAAGAAAG